ATATATATATATATATATATATGTATATGTATATATAAAGTACCATAATCATACCAACAATTTAATTTATAATTAATTAAGTTTAGCTTAGCAATCAATAGAAATGATTTGAAATGTGCCAAATTCATTTAAAATGGATGAAATGAATTAATAATAAATGAGAATCAAGTAAAATTAATAGCGAAGAAAATGATAATCAGTATATATTCATCATCGAAAATTAATAATAAATTGTTATTCACCGATTCAATTATTTAATTATCATTCTACCAAATTCATCTTAACTTCTTTATATTCAAAATAAATTGTTTATATTAAGGAAAAAACGTAAAAATTAAATTTTAGAATTACAAAAATGATATGTTATCGATGCGTAAATGTGAACATAAATTTGTTAAACTGTTATAATCGAAACAAAATTTTCTTGATTACCCAGCATGAAGTCTATCTAACCTTGGGAAAAAATAAAATTACTGGGAACGGTAAATCTATTAAGGCGTTTTAATGAAATTTAAAAAAAAAATTCTTACAAAATAATCATCCAATAATATCTCATTCATTTGACATGACCTAAATACTAAAGTAATATATGAGGTATGATAATGATAATGAAGATAATAACAATAATATAAATAATAATAATAATAATAATAATAATAATAATAATAAAGTAATAATAACGTTGATCTAATCTAGAAAGCTGCCACTGAGAAGGTAAGTCAATAATAATCCTTATACATACCATTTTTCTCCTTTCACACTCTTTCTCCGTAATAAGACTAAACCTTTATAGCCAAGACAGATTCGTAATAAGGCTAAAGTTTTATAGCCAAGATAGATCAAGTAAGGATAAAAGGAAATTTTTTTTTCCTTTCTAAAATTATTTTTCATCAAAATATTACACTAATCATTTCTTTCGCTTTTTCTTCTTTTTTTTTTAATATGAAATGATTGAAATTGATATTTTGAAAATAGTCATTTTAAAGGAAAATGACGAAATTTGCAAAGGATTTTTGGCCGTAAAATAATTTTTTCGGCCGAGTTTTATAATTTCTGATTTCCGGTCCATTTTTCAAATTTCATTTTAATACACCATTTTTTTTTTTACTTCATTTTTATTTTGGTTTTTTTTCCTCTCCCCCAATTTTTTTTTCCTCACCTCAAATTAAACCATAAGCTTGAAGGTTTATAAGTGAGAGAATAAAAAAAAACGAAAGAAAGAAGGAGAGTGAAGAAAATTTACAAAGCAAAAAAAAAAAAAAGGAAGAAAGAATACGATAGAAAAAAATACTGTAAAATATGTATTTAATTAAAATTTTAAAGTGAGAACATTTATTCCATCTCTTTTTTTTTTCGTTTCCGAAAGATGAATTGAAATAGATTTAATCATTGAAATAATGAAATTATTCAAAAAAAACAGAAAAGTTGTTGGCTGATTGGTTAATAATATTCAAATTGTTGTTATTCTTATTACAATCATAAAAAATTAGAAATCAAAAATATACTCTTTGGTATTTGGAAATACTGATAACATCATAAGAAATGATTATTCCTACAAAAGTGATCAATTCAATGATTGTAAATATTAATTAATCATACGGTGTGATAGTTTAATTAATACATTGAATGTCACTTATTACACGCTAAACCCAGCTTAATTAATAAATTCCCTATTAGTTATTTGCACGTTAAAAATATTATCTTTAATAACTAATGTACTAATAATCATTTCTAATGCATTAAGTTAGCTAATAAATGAAGTGTCCATTACTTGTTGTACATTAAGTTAGCTAATAAATGAAGTGTCCATTACTTGTTGTACATTAAGTTAGCTAATAAATGAAGTGTCCATTACTTGTTGTACATTAAGTTAGCTAATAAATGAAGTGTCCATTACTTGTTGTACATTAAGTTAGCTAATAAATGAAGTGGTCCATTACTTGTTGTACATTAAGTTAGCTAATAAATGAAGTGGTCCATTACTTGTT